TGTGGAACTGTGGTGGCTGCATTGGAAAGGGAGGAGGTTCATTAAGTGGCACTGTGGTGTCTGCATAAGAAGGGATGGGGGATCATTGGCACTGTGGTGGCTGCATGGGAAGGGAGAAGGAGGGTCATTAAGTGGCACTGTAATGTCTACACAGGAAGGTACTACAGGGTCATTGGCACTGTGGTGGCTGCATGGGAAGGGAGGATGGTCTGTGAAACTTTAGTGGCTACAGGAGAGGCGGGGTCATTAGCACTGTGGTGGCTGCAGGGGAGGTATTTGGCACTATGGTTTGAAAGAACAGTTGATGTTGAAAAATGACTGGGGAGCTACTTAGTAACTAGCTGAAAAATTAGGGTTAAAAGGTACTTCCCTGCAGTGCTGCCCCCTTACATGTCAACATTTATCCACAAATCTCTACAAAAGTTGCTAATTTTTATCTGTTTAAAACCAAAATTCATAACATTATTGTAAGTATGAACACCAGTATGCTATAAAAATGATAGGACACCTTAATCCACTTTAGTGGTGATCGCAACAGATTGTAACTATATTTTGTTCTACAATGTATCAGCAGCCAGGTGCTTAACAGTAAAACCTAAAATAACATATCCATCACCCGAAATGTCCCCTTTTGTGCAAATAATATATAAGTACTAAGTGTACTTAGTTATAATATATAATAAGTCTCTCGGCCTTTTAGCTAATGCACTAATGGTTACTGCCTCGTGTGGTGCTGAGTAAATAAACTGTGTGATAATATCCAGCCCAAGAGTGGCCAAAGCTCCCATGAAATCCCTTATTGAAAGACTGTCAGCGATATCCAATGGGTCTTCTGTCCACCCAGGATGAACCAGCCTCTGACACGTCCTTCTACTCCCCCAGTACACAGATTTAACCAAGCATGGCTCCAAGCGGTTATGCAAAGATCTGTTCACGCAGCAGTCAATGGTGGAAGGTTGAACAATCCAAAGTGCACTAGCAATTGTACAGATGCCAACGCAGGGGACATAAACAGGACATATCACATCCCAACATTTTGCCAATAGCCTCAGATTTTTCAAGGGATTCTGTTTTGCTTCTACAAAAGGGGATGTCCAGGTTGCCATGTTTATAATGTTTAATAAATAAAATGTTATTTTAACATTTACTCCTAAGACCGTGACTGATGATACATTGTAGAGCAAAATATATTTATTAGGGTTGCACAGATACCAAGTACAGTACTTGGTACGAGTACATGTACCGATACTTTTGAGCTCCAAGACAACACTAGAGAAAAATTCAAAAATTAGAAGGCAGGTGTCATTTGTAAGGAGCATACGGAGCTCCTGGGATGTGTACATCTCTGTTTTAATGTACGATTTTGTTTTTATAAATATAAATAAAGGGATGCACAGATACCAGTTTTGCGAGTACGAGTACTGGTACTTGCCGAGTACTTACAAGTACGAGTACTGATACATTTTTGTTTATTGTCATGTGACAGTTTTTCTAAAACAATACAGACTAATGATTTCAGGACAGTGGTGGAGCACCGGAGCCAGGTCCCAGCTGCAACTGCTGCAACCCTGGTAGTTCTCATGAAAATGCAAAGTATCTGCACTGGTACTCGAAAAGTATCTGTGCATCCCTAATATTTATGATCTTCCTGTAATGTTGTGATCGCCACTAAATAGTAAAAATAGGTGTAAACCTATATCAACAACACTATACACTATACATTTGGTATAGGTCAAATCAAACCTGTGAATTGCCCATGCAGGGCAAATCAAAAATTGACATTCCCCCCACATGTATGAACCTTTCCTTCACTTTCTGTTCAGCTGCTAGGATCAAAGGATCCTCTAGTTCAAGCTTACACAGATCTATAAACTGTCTTCCCCATGTGCCAATTAGCAAGCACCAATACTGTTGCATGAAAGGAAAAAGATGAGTCACAGGCCTCTTCATACCCATAGGCAAACTCATCTGCTTTAAGGGGAACAGGGGGAATAGTAAGCACGTCTTCCAAAAAAAAATAGAAACAAATTGAGAACAAAGAACAACATTTTCATTCCAGTGTTTGCGTACCTCCTCATAATTTGTTCCTGTGGTTATTATAGTGTTCCCTGTTTCATATTTCACATTTATTCCTTTGTTTATAGTTTTGTTCTTGTTTTCCAGTCTTTGCACCTTCATCATCAGACCATCCGTTCCACATGTAAGTCTCGTTCCAGTGATTCATAACAACATGTTCATTTTATGTTCTTCCATGGTCTGCCATCTTTTCTATATTTTGAAATGTATCTCATGAATAATTATGAATGAATAATTATGATGATAATCATAATGGATGATGATGACCTGCACATAAAAAGATTATTTAATGCAAAGTTAACTTTCCGAAACCGGAGATAAGGAGAATGGAAACATAATTTATGAGTTGATTTACATATAAGGACTTTCAGTATTATTATGGATCTTTTGGAACATGGCAGGAATAAAACACAATTAACCAAGGTCATGTTCCTAGGTGTATAACGTCAAGAGTGACATGCCTATTGCAAAGCAATGGAGTGGAGTTAACAGAGTTTTTAAAGTCTTGTCCTTGAAGCATATGACTTGACTGATTAACTTCATCAGACATATTGGTAATTAAATGAAATGTTCATATAAAAATAGTCTTCATTGCATTGTGGCATCTTATAAACCTCAGTATGGAAATGTATCATGAATGCTTCATATGGAGACTAATCAGGACTTTGTCTTGGCCAACTTTAGTCCTAACAAGGCTCTGTGTACTGCTTGTTCCTAATTAGACGAACAATTCCATCTATTACCATTTGATGCTTGTAAAATGTTTGATGGACATAATCTTGGAAGAAGCAGAACTTGTATTATAAAAATGACAGAAATAGAAGGTGGACAATAGGAAAGGGCAACTTCACAAAAATAAAAATGGTGGATTAGATGAAAGTGAGTGTATTTTGTTTATTACTTCCACTGCACTTCCCGTTCTCCAAGCTATCACTTGAAAGTCACAATCCCAAAACATGTTCAGGAGTCATGATGAGTTCTCATGGCTCATCTGGTGTTGGATATATTGCTCTGGGCATTGTGTATAGAAGTGGAAAATAAAGCCACCCACACAGTGGTCCTGGAAACATACTGGGGGCTGTATATTTCAAGCTGCAGATTTTCTTGCTGGCAAGAGTTTTCATAAACGTTTTAAATCAAAACCTTTGTTTGACAGTTCGGGATGGTTTTCATTTCTCCCCATCATATATATCTAGCTGTATTTAGTCACATTCAGATCTTTGAATGCAAATCTGGTAATTCTGCAAACACACTTCCTGTCCTTGGGTGGCTATGGTCACTTCTCCAGGGAGCCATAGTTTTTGCCATCCAGGCTGGACTTCAAACATGTCTGCCTTGTTCAGTTCCATTATACTGGGGATAGGGAGATAATTAGTCTGCCGAAAGAAGATAAGATTGTTTCATGAATCCAATTAATCTCACAGGAAGTGAAAAATATACTGCATCTCTGGCAAGATAACCATGTATTTTCTGTACTTGATGAAAATGTTCTTAGCCTAAAAAAAACTAATGTAGCCTCTACATCTAAGGACTGGTAAGCTACAATACAGCTATTCCTCACTTAAAGACCGAGCTCCGTTCCTACGACTAGGTCGTTAAACGAATTGGTCGTTAAGCGAGGAACTGTATACAGTACTGTACTATATTAGCACAGTACTGTACTGTAGTGTTGGAGATGTACAGTGTACTGTAAATCTGTAAATACAGTACTTACCGAGAATAGTAGAATGGAGCATAGTATTGTATGCAAAATGAAGTCAGTGAGATGCTGCTCTGCTGCTGCCACATTCCCGCACATACTGTCGGAGAGCTGGTCGTAAGTGCGAGCAGTCGCTAAGCAGATAGGTCGTTAAGTGAGGAAAAGCTGTATATTACATTTTTGGGTTTAGTTATCCTTTAATTCATTTGCCATGGTGTCATGAAATGTGTCAAGGCAGATGTTGATTGTTCTGGAACATGATTGGGCATGAGAAAGTTTTAGAATACACCCTGTTCCGATCATTATAATCCAATCACCAGGGTGCCATCAGGTCTATGGCGGTTGTTAATTGTTTGAGTTGTGTGGCTGAAGTTGTGATTTGTTGGAGGGTAAAGATGTGTAGACAACATAAGATGGGGTGACAGATGGTCTTTAAGGTCCTTACCCCTGTTTTGAGATAGTTGTTGCAGTTTTACAGGTCTTTCCATATTGGTGATGGTATACTATCTGAAAACCGAAATGGCATTTTAGATTCATACCTGTGAACTTTTTAACTGTACAAGTAGCACCTGAACACCTGTCATCAACAACAGCCATTTTGAAGGCAGTATCATATATCACATTGCTTAAGACATGTCAGTCATTTCTCACAGCAGATATCACTTGAACCTGGATGAACTGTGATTCCACCAACAAAATGTCCTCCACCAGGTTATGTCGATGGCAGGTGCTCGTTAACACCATCAATATGCATTTCCTTTTAAGTTCTATATTAACCCATCAAACTTTCTTTATTCTAGCATTTCATTTACTCCTGGGCCCACTCACACGTATTGTCAGCAGCCAATTGGAATGTAAGAACTAATTTTAAACTCCTAATCTCTGTTGTGTAGTGCTAGATGGGTGCAAAAACAGCAAAAAAAAAAAAATCTTGGCAGCTCTATGTTGTGTATGTCTGTACAATGCTTTTCGTCCCAGTCGCGGTTGACCTGTGTGTTCAAAGAGAGTCCATTGAAAGGGCAATAGTATTCATAGGTGAGAATGGTGAAGCAAAGAAAATTACAGAAGATCAATCCTACCTGGTGTGTAACTTGGCAGTTTTGGTGAATAGCATTCATATTGCCTTGGCCTTCTCTCCCCACTCGAAAATATTCAATTCACCACTCGTTTTTGCCATACTCCATCCATTTTCATAATTTAGTACTTCATATAGAATGCTGCATCTCTGAAGACAATTATTGGTGTCCACAAGGGTGGGCAGTGGGTTCCGAAACACCCGGTTATATTTGGGCGAACCACTCCATTCCTGTTGTTGTCATCTGATATGTACTGGGGCAGTGCCATTCAAACAGCAGCAATCCTTAGAATGATGTTATTGGCCAGAGCCTTAGTTGGGGATGCTCCCCGGATGTGGTGAAGGACTGGAGCAAGTATATGAAGGACATGGGACTTGTTGGGATGCCAGGTGCAAGAGCATATTGTCTTATCCTGACATCACATTTTTGTCATAGTTCACCTACTGATTTCTTCGATCCCTGGACAGCTGCCCCAGCTTCTGATATATCCTATCAGCTGCATTATGGGTTTACAATGTGCATATAAGGTCTCTTATGCCAACATACTCTATACATAGGTATGAGTGTGCAAGAGATAAGGACCCACTTTGTGTGAAGAGTTAGTATTGTCCAAATCTAATTGGACACTAGCCATCATTTTTTTCTAAAGCAGATTTTCAGTTTAGTTGCTAAGTTGGTTTTAGTTGGTTGCTACATTCAATGCCTTTCCTTCCCCTATCTGTAGTTTTATTATGTACTAATAAAAGCAAGAGGGTGCTGAAAGAAATTCCATATTTTCTATACATTTACTTCTTAAAATACCATTTACAGATTTCGAATTCAGCTTGTGTTCTTACTCACTCACCACTAGCTGAAGATGTGTCTGAGATCTGCTATGTCTTTTTGCTCCTGCTATAAACAAGGGCATTTAGGAGACACTACTGAGCAGCATTGTCCAGGAGTGTGATATCCAGCTGTATGTTGTGCAATGTATAAACTGGTAAATGAGTCCAGAAAATAATTATAGAGATGAAAATGCCTGTTAAAGAAGTTCTCCAATTGTCCACCTAACATAACTGTAGTGCAGTTTTTTTTTTTTTAAAGTACCTTTCTTTCAATAACTCTTTCTGTTGCTTGTTTCTAAAAGTGCCAGAAGACATGAGAACATTTGCCCATGATGTTTTGGGCTGGATTTTGGTTAAGGCGAATGTCTATAAGCTTTCCAATTCCCCAATATCTAACGGGTGAGCCTGCTTGGGGAAAATATCAGTAATCCAGGATAGCTTTTCCAGGTTGAGTGTTTGATTGCTACTCCCCACTCCACCCCAATCCAAGTGCTCCCTCGGCTTGCTGCATAGGCCTAGACAAGCATGTTCTCTCAATTGTCCCAAGAACAGCTGTTTCCTAGCCGGATAGTCCATGCATGGCTATCTAGACACCTTCACAGTCAAGCACCTATGGAAGAATTAAAAAATCAGCCCACTTGGTGACCACTCCTCCTCTTCTATAATATATGGGTCTGAACCAGAAAAGAAAGCTCCCATGATGCAGAAGGGTTTTATGTAAACTGTGCTCAGATTCATTTTAATGAGGTATAGGGGCAGGCCCACATGTCCATGGTTTTAGATCCTGAGCTGCATCTCCTACATGGAAAGTAGAAAGAAGGCATTTAGTCATTTCAAAAGATCATATACTTAAAACAATACCTGGATCTCATACTGGAAGTAATATCTCCTCCATTGGTTAACCGGAAATTTTACCCTGTAGCGCTTGGTCACCAAATGATCACTATCACATGTGATTAGGTGGCCTTTGTTTATTAACAGTTCTAGCCTGTTCTGCTAATTAGAAGTGAACTGCTCAAGTGTGCATTAGAAGCTGCAGCAAGTCAGTTAGAGCTCGCTTTATTTTCTGGCTGGAGGACGTCCAGCATCATCTGGATCAACTACAAGTCCCAAAAACCAATGCAAGATTCTGACAGCCACAGGCATGCCTCCCAGGGGCAGAGGCCTATGGAATTTGTAGTTTCACCACAGTGGCGTTCTGAGGTTGCATACCTAAATCTAGATCTTTTCTCCACAGCCTTAATGTCCAGGGCTGCTACTTCCAGTTGTTGGATTTCAGTTCTTTAAATCCCAGAGGTTTACACGTGGGAACTACTTAGGGTGGTCTGCATACAAATACAGCATGTTTAGGAACACCCACCCCTCCAGAGTGACATCAACCCATCAAGGCATTTTGGTACTTTCCCTCCTCCTAGGAGCCAGCCCACTGCTTGCTTGGTGTTTTGATGCTTTCAGGAGGCTGTGACGGACCCCCGTACTCAGGATGAGTATGTCCGCCGCTGTCTTCTTCCTTGCTGAGGAGATATTGGAACCCGCTGATCTGTAGCTCCCAGTTTCCCCAGTCACTAGCCAAGGCTTGAGTGTAGGGTAAACAAACTCTGATTTATTGAGCAACTGCACAAACTTTTATACAGCAAGTGATGAAATCAGAATATAATCCCATCACATCCCCCTCCCCCTCCCAGACAATCAGTCTGCTCAACACCACAGGTGTCCACCAGCTAACGAACTCCAGACAGCCATAGCAGGAGGCTGGCCAGAATATCATTGTTCTGAGCTCCCTCAGAGTACAATGGGAGATAACGAGGGATGGTGCTGATACTCTTTCCATAACCAGGTCACACAGCATAACACACTCAAACATAACCCAACACCAATACACATTTAACTTATAAACTGATCACCATGTCGTCACAGAGGCTACCTGATGGACCCTCCCACTTAGACCCAATTATGAAATCCCAGGGTCTAAAATGAAGGTTATAAAAGGAAAATGCAAAAGTTGTATTATTTTATTAGCAAGCCAATGAGGGAAGGAGGAACCTGTGAAAAATATAAGCAGATTAAACTTTACCCTTAACCTAGATAGGAAATGCAAATCAAATTAAAATGGATGTGCTTATTTGTTGCATATGTGTAAAACAAAATATATTGTATATAGTTGGTCTAGTATGTCATAGTCCTCAAAAAAAAAGATACTCCAAATGGTGCAAAATATGTCTTTTGTTTAGTGTTTGTCTATAATATTCTCTCATGATGCTGCAGTGTGTTACAGTACTGAGAAAGGAATATATATTTATGTCTATGTGTAAATTTGTGTTTTTTGTTCTTTCCTCTGAAGTATGGGTTTCTTATGGTAAGTAGAATGCGTAATACAACGTATATTTGTAAAGATATGTTCTATAGTATGAATTATTTTTGTACAACCTTCTTTCCTAGTGTGTTCACATGTACCCTAGAACAGAGGTGCACAACCAGGGGGTAACACTAGGGATGCACAGATACCGAGTACCGTACTCGGTACGAGTACAAGTACAGATACTTATTGAGCTAGACTAGAAAAAAATTCAAAAGTTAGGAGGCAGCTGTCATTTGTAAGGAACACACGGAGCTCCTGTGATTTGTACATCTCTGTTTTAATGTATGATTTTGTTTTTATAAACATATATAAAGGGATGCACCGATACCATTTTTGCGAGTACATTTACTGATACTTGCCCAAGTACTTACAAGTACAAGTACTGATACATTTTTGTTTATTGTCATGTGACCGTTTTTCTAAAACAATGCAGACTAATACATTCAGGACAGTGGTGGAGCGCCAGAGCCAGGTCCAAGCTGCAACCCTAGTAGCTCTCATGAAAATGCCAAGTATCGGCACTGGTATCTAAAAAGTATCGGTGCATCCCTCGGTAACACCTAAAAGTATCCATAAGTCCACCTAGAAGTCACCTAGAAGCCAGCAGATCCTTATTTTTCTATTCCCTTCAGCAAGGTGACAATGCAATGCTTGTGACGGACTGCATTATATATGTAATGTTTGCAGATAGCTACACTTTAAATAGAAATCCACAGCCAGTTATTTGGGTTCAAATCCTATTGCTTAATAGTGCTAGGTTCATGCTGGTGTATGTAGGCTAAAAAACAATGGCACATAGAATGCTGTGTGATCCTAAATTAGTGGCATAGCAACAACTGTAACAAAGGTTGAGCACCTCAGTACTAGAATATAGTAGGTTGGATTAAATATTCTGACAATAGATCACATTGTGTGGTTATAAAATGTCCTCCAATTTAACCACTTGCCCCAAACTGAGCATTCCTGCACCTCTGCTGTTTTGAATCATTTTCTTGAAACCTACCTTTACCTTTCTGACAAATTCACATTTTAAGGATTCAATTATAGTGCACAGTAGATCTATGCATTATGTATGTATTACATTATATATGTATTGCATATTTTCTTATGCATATAAAGGCTTCTGAAATATCCATACTACTTAATAAGAAATGTTTCTTGTTGCCACAAGGAACTGTATCTACAGAAGCTAAGTCTATGGAATGTGCTAGAGCCTTTGCACATAATCTTAACAACCTTGTGATTCAATGGATTCAACTGTATTTTATAAACCTTAATGTATCATCTATCCCCCCATCTCAGCAAGCAGCAAGTACTGCTGTGTAGTAGTTGTGAAATGAAACAACATCTGGTATTTAATTGTGCTACTAAAATCCCATTTTGTCAGAAAGGAGGTGTTTAGTTTTTGGTCCCTTACATTACAACCAAACAATTCCTTGTGTCCCTTCATGTACACCTAAACCTACTTTGGATATGCAAGTCCAATAGGTATGCCACCACACTCTATACCGGTAAATCACTTTTAAAGAGTGGGTGCTAAAAGGCTGCGGATGGTGCCGCAACAATCAGTGTAGAAACAAGATGCCACCAGCACACTGGAGATAGGTGTCCAAACAAATGTCTTTTACTGACACATAGGGGGTGATTTACTAACCTAAACACACACACGCACCAGGTGCGTGTGCATTTTTACACAGCAAAACGTATTTATCAACCAAACACGAGCAACGTGTCACATTTTCACGCCGTTTTGGCGCGTTTTTTTGTATTTAAGTACGTGCGCGTCATGTAGCATGCGCCATAGGCTACATGCCGCTCTAATAGCGGCATGCAAGTCTCTAAAAGCATATTTCCACTAATGCCATATATGGAAAAATCACGCACATGATGCATATATAATACTGCTTCACAGTTTAGACAAAAATGGTTAGCTCATGCATTTACATTCCTGCATTCATCAACGCAAGCAACACAACATAGAGCTAATTTACACAACATCACCTTGCAATTCAGGGCAGGGCTTTGCACAACACACCTGCTGGGTGTGGACACACTACAAAGGTGTCTAGATTCCACCATTAGATCATGCTGGGAGGGAACACGCTACAGAGGTGTATATTTGTTCATGGCGTGTTTATAAGGTTAGTAAATCAACCCCATATTGTCACAAGAATGGTGTGACGGACCACTTGGTACCCTGACTGGTTACCTCCTTTAGAATTCAGGTTCGTCCACTCTGGAACCAGGGAAAAGCAATGACAGCCCAACCTCCCTTAATAGCCAGGCAGAACTAGTACATATTAGGGTAGGATCAAGAACTAAAAACCAACACAGCATTTATACAGTTCTGGAGGTCTAAAAACATAATGCAGTCAAACATTAAAACAATGAAAGCAATAATCCCCTCCCCAGTGCCTGACACTGGCTCACAGATTAGGGAAATAGAAAACTCCTGAGTGTCTATACAGCTACACCTAGAGTCAGCTATGTTAATCCCATTATTAACACAATGAAACAAATGGACAAACAGACTTGAACAAGTTAAATAAGAGTCTAAGTCCAGAGTTAACCCTTTCAATTATGCTGGATTCACGCCCTGTATATATAATGGGCACAGGGTGACTTAACCATAATGCCAGCATATGACATAGCATATCCGCTCCCCACTGAATCTGGGATAATAGTTCCAAGGGGTAACAATACATAGCAATCCCCAGGTGTCCCAGAAACATTTCACTCTCCCCGTAATTCTCTGTTAACTGCATGCAAGCAAACATTTACTTTCCCGTTCATATAATTGGATATTCTTATAAACACATTTGATACAATTTCCTTAGTCAGCATCTCTACTATTTGAACTCTCCTTTAATAAGTCAACCCCATTATGAATATGCTCCACATGCTACATCCAAGCAATACCCATGTCTCTTGGGTCATGCTCTGACCATCAACAGAATTTCTCTTATATTGCACTTAGAGCAGAGAGCCTCATTATTGTACATGTGTTACAAATACATTTTTAATGATTCTCAGAGGAGCTCCTCTGGGAATAAATAGCTTTGGAAGGTGGCCACTACATACAGCTGGTGTCAGGTAACTCAACACCAAAAAAACCAAGGACAGCTAGTATTTTGCCAGTTCTCAATTAGAAAATGTTGTCTAATATCTGAAAGACCATGCTAGAATGATGATTCCCATTGTCATGTCTCTATATATAAAAGTCAATAAACACATCCAAATTACAGTGACTATAAAACACATAAGAATTTCAGCAGATACATTTCTTCTATTCATCTGTTTCTTTCTGTTTCTACAATCTCACACTATAAATTTCTTCAATTTGTTGTAGCTCTAATGGAAAATCTGTAACGTGGGCACAAAATGAGAAGAGCACTCGGGGTCAGCATCTTTGGCAGCGTCTCTCTGTTCATGTCAAGAAAAAGGATAGTACAAATCAGACAGCCGTTATTAAGCCCTTCTCCAAGAGCAGCACAGAGAACAGATACATCAGCACGTCCTTCCCGGACTCCAGTTCCAAAATGCTCTATGATGTTTCTGAGGCCGAGGAGCATTACCCGGTTCAGTACCGACCGCAAACTCCTTCTCCCATCAGTACTGTGAGCCAGAGGGCTGCTTCGGTGGCTCGGACAGAGGACGACATCCCTTCGTTTCATTCGGAAACCGCCCAGCGAAGTGGCTCTTCTCAAGGATCCCTGATGGATCAAATCAGCAATGTTGTGACCAGATTCACGGCCAACATCAGCGAGCTAAACTCCATGATGCTGACGGCAAACACACAAGGAGCCATGGTGCCCACTCCTCTATGTTCTTCCTACCTGATTCCAAGAGAGATCCAACTTCCCACCGCTATGACTACCTTTGCAGAGATCCAGCCAGCCCCTGCTATTGAATTTAACGGTGGGTCACTTTCTGCCAGAAAGTCATCTTCTGACAGCGTCAAAGATAGTGCTCCAGAAGCACCTGTAGTGAAGCAAGATGTTGAGGAGTTGGTAGCTTTAACACCTCCTTCTCCTTTTAGAGACTCCATCGACTCAGACAGCACCTCCCCTAGCTCCCCGGTATCAGAGTCTGCTCTCTGTACACCATCCTCTCCCAAATACGACAATATAATTTTGAGAGACTACTCTCAAAGTTCTTCGTCTTTGTGAATGTAAACCAAGCTAATTGGAGATCAACTGTGACAATACACATATACATAGGGGGAGGGTGGCACACATCTCCTTTGGACAGGCGTATACACGCCCCTTAGTCGGCGACTGATGCGTGACAAACCCTTCCTTTAAGGTAGCATCAGACTGAGGGTTCCATTGTTCCAATAAGAGCAGTTGTTACATTAGTGGCCTTACCTATGGTCTTTTTAAGGAACACTGCTTACATTCGAGGGCTGTCGAGGAGTCAAACATAGGTGTAGGAGTCTATTTTAAGTGCTTTGATTTAATTTAAAGTGGGCTGTTTTGACAAATAATTGTGAACAGAGTGGATTGTAATCAACTGTAAAAAAATATTGTCTTGTTTTGCTTTTGATTCTTTTCCCAGAAGTGAAAGTTTTGTCAAGAATTGAAGACCAAACATGAATGTACGTTTTCTAAAAACACAAAATAAAAAGACTCAAACAAAAATAAATAAATATGGGACCAAAATGGCAGACACATTTTTCTATGAAGAAGCTGTGACTTAACAAAAAAAAATAAGGTCTCACTTCAAATAAACTCTGAAACGATCTTGCTATGTATCAGATCTGTGATACGAAACCATAGCTACTTTCTGACTGCAGTAAATGACTGTAAAAAAAACACAGGGCACAACATGCAACCTTGTTTATTATTTTTTGGCTCTTTTTTTTTTTTGGTAATTATTCATTAACTTTCAACCAGTTTTGAAAAAGAGAGAAAAAAAAAATAATCACGGGACTGGAATTTAATAGCAATTAAATATATTGTCTATTTCACCGTGTTGCCGAAAATACTAAAGTAGCAAAAAAAAATATTTTTTGGAGTACTGTTTTTGTAAATTCCCTCATAAGGGCAAGTTGTTTTTTGGTGAATATAATATTTATAGCGAAATTGTTTATTTGGTGGTGTTACTGCATCCCTATGTGTTGAATGCCTTTTTTTCTTTCCTTTTCTTTTTTTTATAAAAAAATATTTGTGTTTTACTGCTTTTTGCATGTAACAATAACAAAAAATTATAATAATAAAATAGAAGCAAGGTACTTATAGTGTAGAATTGAATAAACTGTGTCAATGCCTTTTGAGTGAGTACATTTAGCAGTAAGCCGTGCTTTTATTGGGCATGGCTGTTTGTATATTGTTTCAACCTTTGAACTGTGACTGAATTGGGTTTCTAAAGCAATACATAGAAAAGACTATATTTTATTTTTTTCTTAAGAAAAAAAAAAAGCCTGTGTTGATAAAATACACCTAAAATCGATGTTTTCTTTTTTAATCACCTACTCCAGGGAACTATATTATTCCACCCTTGAGTCCAGCAATGAGTCAATCAGATCGTGTATGAAAGTGTATGTATAGCCACAACTTTATTTTGCTTTGGAGAGAGTAGCGAAGTGTTAAAAACCTATTTCAATTTATTTTTTGCTGCTTGAAATCTTCCTTCACTTCCTGTCTGGCAGAAGCAAGAGAAAGTGAGAGGAAATTGCCTCTTAAGCTGGGTATGCACGTTACAAATTATTATTTTACAGGATTTGCACAGCGCTTTACAATATGAGGAAGACATTACAATCACAATACAATTCAAGACAAGATGGTAAGTAGGGCCCTGCCCGTGAGGACTTACAATCTAAAAGGGAGGGGCCAGTGTTGCATGAGGAGGTAGCTGTGTGAGGATAAATTTGCACAGTGGGTGCCCCTGTTGCCATCCTGGTATCCCTTGATCAGCTGATCGAAGGCGACGGTTGGAAAATGATCATCCAAACAGAGCTAGCAGGCAGCTCTGTTTGAGTCCGGCGGCCGCTGTCATTATACAATCCCAACAGCGGTGAGAATCGTCTATCAACACTCGGCGTTGATGGAGAAATCTCTTATATTTTCTTCATTCAGCCCATAGGTTGAACAAAGAAAATATACAGTAAGCATGTATACACAGCTTTAGACAGGTGTCCCCGTTGGAAGACTGGCCCTCAACTTTTGTTCTGGTGACAACCAGTGGTGTAACTATATCCATATTAGCCCAGGCGGCTGCTATGGGGCCTAGGGTTGGCAGGGGGTCCCCATTAGGTTGTTGAGGCAAATAAACATAGAACAGTACTAGGTTGGGGTGGTTGCAGTTGACGACAACTCTAAACTCATGTAAGTCTACATTGTAGAGACCACTTTCAAGGTACTAGAAGAGTCTTTGGGATCTTGGCATCATTATTCACGGCTCAGAGAGAGGTCATCATGGGACCCCCCCATCACATTTTTGCTCTGGGGCCCCATGATCTGTAGTTATGGCCCTGGTGACAACTGTAACATTTTGGATTTCCCATTGCTTTTTGTCTGACAATAGTCATCAAGATACATAGGAGGGGCGAACGTACCCAGCAGGGGCATCTTCATCACTCTATCCAAAGCTAGAAAAAACTTTTGGGGGTACATACACTTTAACATATTTAAAAAACTTCTACCATAATTACCTGAAATATATTAATATTAACTTCCCTTAATGCTTTCATAGCAATAAAAAGAGTGAAAATGACAGGTTCTGCACTGTGGACCGGTTTAGATTTCATTGTATGACACAGTGCTATCATAACATGTTACAGGCATCGCATACTGAAGGGAAAGGTATATAAGCAGCTTTTAGAAAGGGCTATGATAATGCTCATTCATGTCCAGTGAGCATTCAAGAGACAGGAAGGTTAAACACATAGGGGCCTATTTATAAAGAGGTGAATCTTCCAGGTGCATGCGTTTTAAATGATAATGACTGATTCACATCCAGTTAATGTTTGGTGAAAAGTCACCATTCATAAATATGCCCCATAAAATTGCAGAGCTGCAATTGTTCCCCCTTTTCCCCAGTGTGGAAATAGTTTATAAATCAGAAGAGAGGCTGAACTGATATATTGTTATAGAATGGAGTTCAAATATATGTATTCTGGCTGGCTGGAGTTCTAATCTAATTTGTAGTAAAGATGTAACAATGAATAACAAATATATTGAATAGATATATATATATTTATTCCCTAAAAGTTGTATTTTCTTCCTGTCAACTATCCTCAGGTGCCAAATAAGAATACAAAGGTAAGACATTTATGATGGTGGTAAGCGGTGTTAAAGGGGAACTCCAGTTAGAAAAAAGCATACGCAATGTCAGATTGTTTAAAAGTAGTCCATAGTATAGTCGAACCACGATGCGTGCAGTAGCTAGTTTGTTTTAACAGGATGATGTTACAAACAAGCTTCTTCGGATCCCAAATTTTGAAGGGGAGCACTTTCAAATAAAAAAATTATCCCATTAAATTGCAAATTCCACGTATCTTGCAGACCTCCGCACTCCCTGTAAAAACGTAAAATAAAAAAAATAATAGCAGAAAATACTAACTTTACATGCAGGCATCCAGCAGCTTGCCTAGGCCCAGGTGGTCCTGAAAAAGCTGAGGGTCCCAGATGTTGCAAGAAAACATTCCTGCAAAGTGCTGAGTAACTGTTTGTGATATTTGGGCTCCTAAGCTTTCCCAGGATCCCAGAAGAAGGCTCAGTGACATCACCTTCATCTACAGGATGTGGACAGAGGAGGGGTGCAAGGTTAGTAACTTTCACACCCTCGCCGTCCCAAACGCGTGCATTGATGCAATGTGTTAAACATGCGCAATGCCCTTGTGGCATCCCAAATGTGGCAGGGAAAATGTGCATGCATGTTAAAGTGACACTAAACTCCAGAGTTAAATCTTAAATTACATCAATGTACCTTAACTATTAACAACAATGTATCTTATTTGTGTATCACTCGGCTGTAGATCCTCAAATCATCTCTGAATTGGTGCTAACACTGTCCTTCCTTCTGCAGGGTGGCTACTTCAGTTCCCCATGGGAACAATTCAGAAGTTAAGTAGCCACCACTCCAAGTTCACTCCAGTGATGGACTACAATCTCCTGTTTAGTTTACTAATTTGTATTGAGATTGTAGTCCATCACGGGAGCGAGCTTGAAACGGTGATTACTTTACAACACACAAAGGGATCATGGGGCAACAAAAGTAGCCCCCCTCCAGAAGGAAGGACAGTGTCAGCACCAATTCAGAGATGATTTGAGGATCTACAGCCGAGTGATACACAAATAAGATACATTTCTGTTAATAGTTAAGGTTCTTGTATGTATTGCTAAGATTTAACTTCTGAGTTAACAAACGTATGTTGAAAAAGAGAATCTGCTGCAGAGCTACTTTGCTGCATTTGTCATGCATGAGCAGCCTGTTGAAGTCAATAGACACGCGTGACAACAAAAAAAGCAAACGCCGAGGTGTGAACGGGACCTTGCTATTTTCGTATGATTTTATTTTTCTTTTTTTTTAAATATTTAGTTTTTATTAACATATAATTTTAAGACAAAACAAATACAATACATACAATACGATTACTTGACATTCCATTACATTACAATACATTTGCAGTATTTTACTTTAGGCCAAGGTGTATTCTAAGTCTACTGTATTGTAAGTAAATATCTATGCTTCAATCGTCTATCTATACCTAGTCTCACAGACATTTAATCATCCATCCTACCAGGGGACGTATTGGGGGGGGGGGGGAGAGGGATGGGGTTCAAACCGAGGGAGGGGGAGGGAGGGGAGGGGGGGGGTTTCTCATACTCATAGTCGTATGGTAACCCCTTTCTCTACCCAGAGTTAATTTTGTACATAAATCTGTATACTTTCTACTCGCCTGATAACTACATACATCTCATGTCTTTTCTTTCAGTCTCTTTACTTAATCTATGATTGCCATGTGGTCCCCGTTGATTACCCTTCCAGCTGTAGGTACAAAGATGTAGTTTTGAAGGCTATCCAAGGGGACCATATAGTCTCGTATCTCTTAGTACGTTCCTGTCTCGCCAGGGTTAGTTCCTCCATTAGGCGTAAATATTCCACTTTATGTATCCACTCTCTAATTGGCGGAGTAGTTGGAGTTTTCCAATATTTAGGAATAAGGAACTTTGCAGCGTTCAATAGATGTGGTGTCAGGGATTTCCTGTACCTTGATGGCTTTAGGTCCGTCATATGCAGTAAACAGGTCCATGGATCTATTGGGCCTGGTTGTCCAGTTATAAATGATATAAGGAATTTAACTTGAGCCCAGAAAGGCTTAATTTTTGGATTGCACGGGGTGAACGGGACCTTGCTATTTTCGTATGATTTTATTTTTCTGCCAGATATGTGGACCTTGCAATTTGGTACAAGGCTCAGTTTAATGAGCTGATCATTTATTTAATATTTAGAGCCCCATTGAACTTCCAGTTTAAATCCGCAAAATTAATTCCAGCTTCATCATAATAAATGTTGTACAATGTCACACGTTTCCTTTTCTTTAGAAAGCAGCCACATTCTGAGTAGAAAAGGCAGCGTGGTGCAGAGAAGGACCCTTGCTCTCTTGTGGAAGCAGCTGTCCCCCTGCAGAGGTCCAACATGCCCCCTGCGTAGTCAGACTTAGAGTTTTGCAATCAACAAAGCTCATGCTTCTTGCTGATTGGAGATCTCTGGCTTTAACTTGAGCAGGGAGCATGCCTGATTTCTGCAGAGAGGCCACTGCTTCCACAAAAAAGAACAAAGGTCTCATTCTGCATCATGCTGCATCACACA